GGTAATCTCCGTGAATATATTCATTCCAACTACGAAAAATTTACTTGGGGTCAAAAATTAAATTATTTATATGAGATAATCGTTCAGCTTAGAAACATTCACGCAGAACAATTTGTGCATCGTGGATTGCATCCTGGAAATATATTAATGTCCGAGGACCTTCCTAGTATTACTGATTTTGGACTTAGCATTCCAACAAATATAGAAAAATCTAACCAAGAAATTCGTGGAGTACTTCCTTATATGAGTCCAGAGGTGTTTAATGGAAAGCCATACACTAAGGCCGCAGATATTTATAGCTTTGGAATGATCATGTACGAGGTTGTAACTGGTGAACGACCATTCGGTGAAAGAAGTCATGATATACATATCGTATTAGACATCTATATAGGGGTACGGCCTTGTATACCAAATAATGTTCCCGGATGGTTCAAATTTATTATTGAAAGTTGTTGGGATCCTATTCCAGAAAAAAGACCAACTGCTGAGGAACTGAGAAACTTTATCGAGTCTATCAGAAATCCAGAAGATACCAGGTGCTGGAAACTGAATATTTTACATTTCATGTATTACAGTTCCTTAGAATATCCTAAAACAGAAAAAGAATCAAAGAGTGTGTTAAACTAGAGAGACAAAAATTGAAAGAACTTGATGAGGAGATGAAGTCACATAAAAGCATTCTCGTGAATGTAAACAAAAAACAACAAATCCATTCAAATGCAATTTACACGAGTCGAATGTTTTCTTCGAAATTAATATCAATTCCAACTGATATAGGTACGAAAAATTGATTTATATTCAAGCAAAATGACATTTTAGATTGATTTAAATATATGAATATTTTAGGTTCTGGGAGTGTAAGTTTGTATGTTCCAAATGAAGGTAAAATCATTATTTTTAAAAAAAATTTACAGAAAAATCAATTCGATATATTAAAAATGTTTGCATGAATCTATAGATATGGATATCTCAATAAGCGACAAAGCAAACGAAGGTAAATCACTATGATATTCTTTTAGTAATTTCTTAATTCATTACCTTTTTTCTCGATGATTCAAAATACATTTAGACGACAATTTAAAGATGGAATCGAATGCACATGATTGTAGTAAATGTTACGATTGTCGAAATAACGAACATTGTGATGAGTGTTTAGTTCACAATATTCATGATTGTGATGAATGCATTCGTTGTCAAAAAAATATGTATTGTGATTACTGTCTCAAGTATCACAGACGAATTTATAACGATGAATTGTCAACCGGAGATAAAGATATCGACAATTTAATAAAAGAATGCAACAAAATTAATAAAGATAAAGATTATAAATTATTCGAATGGATTCCTTTTGAAAGATTTACAGATGTGGAATACCTTGTAAAAGGGGGTTTTGGAACAACTTATAAAGCAATCTGGTTGGACGGACCAATAACTGGAGAATGGGACCATGAAGCAAAAATATTTAAACGACGTAATGAACACATAGTAGTTGTGAAATCATTACGTAATTCGGAGCAAATTACTCCGGAGTTTATAAACGAGGTAAAAAGTAATCGTTTCAAAAAATCTAAGCAATATCCTCTTGTCTTGTAGCTAATCTAAATAAATTTCAAAACAGTTACGGATTGCTTTAAAGTGCACTCATAAATATATTAAATATTATGGAATAACTAAAAATCCAGATACAAATGAATGCTTAATAATAATGGATTATGCAAAAGATGGGAATCTTCGCAAATATTTTATTTCCAACTATGAAACAATTACTTTGGAGGAAAAATTAAGATATTTAATTGATATTATTGATGGGCTGCGTTCAATTCACCAAGAGGGGTTTGTGTATCATGATCTTCACCCTGGAAATATAGTAATTTCGGATGGTAATGCTCAAATTATCGATTTTGGACTTGCTCGCCCGGCAGATATAAAAAACTCTAAACAAGAAATTTATGGAGTACTTCCTTATTTGAGTCCAGAGGTACTAAGTAGAAAGCCATATACTAGAGCTGCAGATGTTTATAGCTTTGGAATGGTGGTGTACGGAATTGCAACAGGTGAACTACCATTTGGCGAGCGAAGTCATGATAAACATCTTATATCCGATATCAAAAAAGGAATACGACCTATGATACCAAATAATATTTTCGAAGGGTACAAATTTATTATTGAAAAATGTTGGGATCCTATTCCAGAAAACAGGCCAACTGCTGAGGAACTCTATGACTTTATTTGGTCTATCTACCATGGAAGCATAAATAATTTGAATTCTTTGCATTTTCATTTTTTCAATTTAAAAAAACATGAAGTAATTGAAGAGTTTTTTAAAGATGAGAGAGAGGGATGGCGAGAATTTGATGAAAAGGCAAGTTCACAACAAAGAATTCCTACGAATATAAACAAAAAACACTCAAATGCAATATACATGAGTCGAATCTTTACTTCCAAGTTAATATCGATCCCAAATGATACAGGTTCGCACACTTATTATTATATTCAAACAAAATGAATTACAGATTAATTTTAAATATATCAAACATTTAGGTTCTACAAATGTTAGTTTATATATTCCAAATGAAGGTAAACTTACACTTGATATTCTTTCTTTTCATCAATTTCTTTAATTCAATATTTTTCTTTGGTGATAAAAAACAGATTTCGATCTTAGTATATCACATGAAATTAGTCTTACACGTGAAGATGATCAATCTGCTTCAACTCTCGCTAAATCACTAGCACCAACAACTACAACCATTCCAGAGCAAAGTGTAACGATTAGCAACGATGACTTTTATAACATTCACCATGAAGACATGAGTAAATAGTGCAAATTGGACGATAGTCTCTTCCCATAAGTTAAAGCCGCAGTCAAGGTAATTTATTATTTATTTATGCTTTGCTTGTAACTATCAAATTTCTTAATAATATAATTTAACAATTAAGACTTTATATATTCTTTCTTGGAATGAAGTCTCGAGCAATTCTAATGATCTCCATGATTGGCTCATTTGATGACGATCCAACTCGAACATTTCCGATATTTTGTCTTATTATTTTTATATTTATGGAAGCTCTATATAATCCTATTATATCTATCTATTATTAAATTCCCATTCATAAATGGTAATCAGATTCAATATACTTTCAATATATTTCCATTTTTATTCCTTTTATTTTCTTATTATATAATTTTTATATTATCTTTACTTATAAAGAAAAAGATAGCATTATTACTGCACAAGAAAAAAGATAGGGAACAAGAAAAAAGATAGGAACAAGAAAACAAACTTTATATAGTAATGTATGGATCAGAGATATCACATACCAAGGGGATATCCTTACTGCAAGTTAGATGGATGGCCCAATTGCGTGTTATCTGCTCCCTTGTGGTCTATGGGATGAAATGTTTGTCAAACCCGGTTTCGGTGTTTTACACATCTCTTAATAGCCTTTAATGCGTCCCCTGAGATCCCGCGTGTGTGACCGTGAAGTTACGTATATGACGTGTAACTGCACGTGTAAACTTTGCGTTTATACGTGACATAAAAATTGATGTCTTAATATATTATTATTTATTCCTCCCTTTAATTTTAAACCGCTTTATTAATAGATCAAGTATTTAATAGGGTTTTCTGATCCATTTTCCACTTTTTGTCAAAATTGATATTTTTTAATTATCTTTTCATATCAAATAAACCGCAGATGGTAATTTGAAAAAACATTATCTAATTCAAGTGTTTTTAAATAGCGAATCGTTATACGAAGAATCGTAGATACTTGTCGCAATAATGAAAAGTTTGTATAACTTGGTTCGCTTTATCTCATCAATCTAATGGATGTAACTTTATTATATTCGCAAATGCAAGTCTCCACATTACCACAGCAATCTTGAAATTATAGCGACAAAAGCGAAGGCATGTATCTTTGAATTTTATTTTTCGCATATCTGATCGCACGTAAAATAGTTTGTTTTAAATAATATCTTCGTTAATTTTTAATATGGTAACCTTAAAATTTTGCCAAGAGCTTAACTGGTATCCAAATTTCCTTTTTATATCTCTTAGTTTTTCACTTGGTGAACGCATAATTTCAAGTTTCAAGTTGCTACATGTTAAATATTTCATATAATTGGACAACCTTGAACCGAGTCCAATGAATTAATGAAAACTCTTGTCTCAATAAATAATACACGTGATTATATCAATGTTCATGATTCAATATCATATATCATTATGCGACATTTAATTGATCAACGATAAAAAGGGGCGTTTTTCTTAAATAAGAAAAATTGAAATAAAAAGCTGCTGCTGTTGCCGAAGCATCAAAGTTCAAATAGATAAAAAAGTGGTTGTGTTACATTCTGATGGCTGTTGGAGACTGTTGATATTGAATTTTTGTCGCAAATAAATAAGAAAAAATTAATGAGAGAATTAAGCAGTCAATCCGATGGACGTTGATTCGACTTCTAGCCAAGCAATCAAGAAAAGATATTGAGAAACATGATGATAAATCCTAGTCTATCAGACAAAGACGGTGAGGATAAAAATGACAAAGTATCCTCCTTGATATGAAACTTGGTTGGCTTAAATGAATTGATTAAGTTGTTAATTTCTTGTAGATAAAATTCAATCACAATACCCTTATGACAATTATGTGAAGTTCAGGATAAAACGATAGAAATAACTTTCTCCGTGTCTGCAATAAAGTGATTTCATTAATTTAAAATAAAATAAATTTTACTTTCAAATCGATTTGTAACTCGATTAACTCATTTACATGGATGTATATATATACAGAGCACACGGAATCCTAAAATTCGCGTGATATCACCTTAGCGTATGATTTGAAATACATGTAGATGGTATACTTATGCAGGTAAAAGTTCTTTATTCATGTAATTAGTGTACATTAATAAATTTTTTGTTTTTCGACATACAAACGCTGGTTGAAATCTTAGACGTTATTATATTTATTGATTCCGGCTGAGATACTGGGATTTTCAAATGTATAAATCCTTTATGTTTGCGGTGGTGAGATTATTGTTAGACTCGGAATTTTTTCCCGAGATTGTGCCGAATATGATGTGAAGGGAGTTTCAGAAGTATACCATGCATGCGTATTTTATTAATATAAATTGAGTATAAAGAATTTACTAAATCTTTACACAGGAAAATCAAAAGATTTGTTGATTGGATCCCTTCTATCGATGCTCTGCAAACTGCTATTAAAGAAGGTAAAGGAAGCAAAGACACTTTTGCCTAATTGTTTTCAAGTAATTGAGATCAATAGGTTTTTCTGCTCGATTGATAATTTTGTTACAAGCTACTTCCTTTAAATTTGTCATTAAAAAACCTGTGGCAAGGAAAATATCTATAAAATGAAAGAAATCTGTTAAGATACTTCCAAAAAATAAATTTCTAATATGAATACGGATATGATTAGACACTAAATTTTTGGGTTTGACTTTATGAAATAATATTATTTAAATTATAACTTATTTGTTTCCAGTTCTCAACTAAGAATTGAATTATAATTATGAATGTAATAAATTAGAAGATAGAGAATTGTCTTCAACAAAAAATTTTGAGACTATTTCTAATGATAATTGATATTTTTAATGATCATCTATTATACAGTAATGTGCAAAAAAATGACAACTAGTTTTTTTATATTAAATAAAAAATGATCTAAATTTACTTTTTATAGTATTTAATTATTCTATTATACTTTAATTTAATAATAAATGAAGCATAACTTTACTAAAAAAACTAAAATAAAATTAATTTTTTTAAAAAAAGATATTATTACTATTAATTTGCAATATTATAACTTCAAATTATGCAAGCAGATTGCCTTAGATTTGATAAATATATATTCTAAATTCATAAAAATTGAATTAGTAATTATAAAGATATTTAGATTCAAAATTTAGTAATTAAATTATTTATTATATAATTTTTTATTAATTAATCAAATTTATATAATAAAATTTAAGAAATAACAATTCAAAAAAGTTTATATTATTAAAATTATTTATAAAATACATAATAAAAATTTTACATTAAAATAAATCCCAATATCTAATAACTTAATTAAATAAAATAGAATTAAAATTTTATTTGAAAAAATAATCTATTAATATTTATCTGAGATACAAAATCTTTTTGCACCAACTCATATATAGTAAATAATTTGATTACATAACTTTAAATCTTAATATCTTTATAAATACTGATTCAATTTTTATGAAATTTAGAATATATATTTATCTAATTTAGGACAACCTGCTTGCATAATTTGAAGTTCCAATATTACAAATTGATAGTGACAATAGTATAGATGTGTATAAGAGAACTTTAGAGTCAAAATTCAACTTTATCTGAGAATAAATAACTAATTGAAGACAAGAATTTTTATGTTCTAGTCATTTTCATTATGAAAGATTTAAAACTTAAAGTTATTATAAAATAATATGCCAAGTTTTGTATTTAAGGAAATAGTTGAACCTTATATAAGAAATACACTATTTCTCTGAAAAATAACTGATTTTATAACTTTGATTATCAGGAATTTAAATATTACTGATTGAAACGATTAAAAAAGGTTAGCGTATTCTTTGTAATCTCATCATTCAAATTTGATATATATAGCTACAGTTTACATAGAAACTCCAAGCTAATGGTGATTGAAATTTCACTTAAAATACAATACTGTGTCAAATCAAAGAGCTAACACAGCAGTATAATGAATAAATTCGTCATAATAATTAATCAGGAATCACATTGCCTTAATAGGTATACTTGCATTGTTTCCTTGAAATTTTCATCAGTCAAACATCATGATGATAAGTTTTCAGTGGACAATACCTAAGCGACATCAGGTTGTCAAGAATTTGAACAGGTGTGTGCTAACTATTCTTTTAAGACTTCACATATAGTAACGCTCAAAAATAATGAATTGCGAAACGTTTTGCACAAAAAATTCTAGCGATTACAACATTGATCTAATGACCGTAGTTTTTTCTGTTCATCTTAAATAAGGAATTTTTAAAAAATGTATTTATTTATATTAATATTATTTTAGGAAATTAAATGATATAGCGGATTTTTTGATTAATAAATTTTGATAATAAAAATTTTTATCAAGTGAATACGGAAAATTCTTAGTAATAAAATATTTCCTTAATAAAAGCTACTGCATGTATTGATTACTGAGATATGAGCCTCTGAATGTCACTATTACATATATGTAAAAAATAGTTGAACATATTTATTAATTGAAATTTCAATATTCAATTGAAATTATATGTTATACAGATAATAGCATAAAGGAAAATATCTTAATTACTAAAATTTTATTCTTTGTCAATATTTATTATCAAAATTTTATTAATAGAAAATCGGCATATTACCTAATTTTCTAAATGATAATATTTTATCGTTTTTAAAATGAATATGCATTATATAAGGAATAACTGTAGGTTAGTAACTTGTATTATAATTTGATTCTTTCAATTTGCTAAAAAGAACTACCGCAAACGCCCGAAACTAAGCTATTACTTACATCATCAATTTTAGATCGAATTTTAAGGGGGTTGCTTTTTTCGGACCTTACCGAATGCTTAATTCTATTGATCCAAATGCCAAATTTATTAATCAATTAGGAATTTGTTACGAACATGTCCAGGAATTCAAAAGGAATTTGTGTTAGGAATATCTCCATTGATATTTCGTTTGTATTTACAATTTTTTGGGGAAAATATTATTAAAAAAGATGTTGCATATACAACTTTTGGACTCAAGTGGGAAGGATTACTTGTTTTAGGATATTTCTTATTTGCGGGACTTTACGGCAAATATAGAGATTATTGTACCTATGTACTTATCATAATAACTGATGAATAAATGAATAGAGATAACTCGACATTTATCAATGATAGATGAGCATACGAGAAAAAAATTATTAAAATATTTGAATTCAAATGTGATTAATAATTGACAAAATACTATATTCCTAGATTATAACCAATAGCATGATTTGGGGTAATATTAATGTAATGCACTGGTTAATATAGAAAATCATAACATAGGCACAAACCTGAATAGTGCAAGTTTCAATAGCACCGCTCTAATAAAAATAAGTTCAAGCGCGTGATATATTTGGAATTCTTTGAATCAGTATGCAAATTTTTTGTTCTTGAAACACAATTAGTCAAAAGACTATTCTTTGAGTCTATTATCTTTATTCGGAATAGCAACTGTAAACCCGTTTATTATTTGCTTTAATTTCGATTTTGTCACTTCAAAAACTGGTTACTCTGAGAACAGCTTGAATAAATTCAATATTTGAGATGTACCAAACACAATCCAAAACCTAATCTCAATTCAATTATTGATTCTGATCTCTTTAATTTTCCCAAGCTGGATCTGCCCAACATCACCAACACACATAAAATCCCGACAAATTTCGACAATCTAACATCCCTACATGTTACATAAAATTCCGAAACACTAAATCTCTCTTAAAATCCCAAGGAATCCATTCTCCTGAAATACTAAAATTCTGACATATTCAGCATTTGACATGTCTTCCTGACATACCTAATATCCCGACATCTCGAGATACCTAAGTCCCAACATAGTGTTACGTCACCTTTTAAAGATATTAGGTCTAGAGAAAATGAAGCGCAACGCAATGGTGAAAGAGTATAGAATAAATGATTACAAGAAGAGATTCTCTAAGTGTTCTAAAGGATTCCTGTGATAGTTTTTACAAAATTACTAGTACAAGGTTAACAAAACAACAATACACGAGGCGTAATTGACAGTTGGACTTATCCAATGTCAACAAAATACAAAAATCAAAAATGGCTGATTTAGAGTGAAGTTTATTCCATTATCAATTTACGTTAGGCATGAAAGAAATAAAACCATTTTTGAAGATAATTATAATTTATATGCGTAAAGGATCTAGAATAATTAAAATCTTTTTAGTTTTTTTTCTTTTTCATTTTTACCTCTTCTTGTTTTAGGCCAACAACCTGTCATTATATGCAGATAAATCATTTATGCGGATTTTACAATAATCACTGTGATGAGTGTCATATCGAATGTCTACTATACTTTCAATATATTTAAAGATTTCATTTTAGAAGCATCACATGTTTGTACTATTGTCCGGTATTTGTTTAACGCTTGTTAATTACATAATGATAAGACAACTTTTAAGGTGTTGTTAAACAACGAAAAAGATACTAGACAATAACGATTAGTTCAAAATATAGTATTAAATAAAAATAATAGCAAAAAACAACCAATTATCAAATACAGTACAAAAACCAAAAATTTTATAATTCAAATAAATAATTCAAATCAATGCTCAAAAAGGTTGCTGAATATTTTGTACAGCCTAAGAAAATGTATTTTTAGTATGACAGAATAAGATTTTTGTGAATATATTTATTAATGTTTTAAATATAATATTAGAAAAACGTAAAATCGCAAAATAATGATTATGAACGTTCCGAAATAACACGCATCATATATAACATTGGTAAACTTGATAAATTGTTGTTCTTTAACCCAATTCCAGTCGATTTTGTAAGATAAAGAAGCATGATTGTTGGATGTAGTTTCTATATATGAAATTATCAGAGTTGGCCCTTGGACAATTTTGGACAGTTTGGACAAAAATTTCTTAGCAATTTAATTATATAGATATTTTTTCGACTGTCCAGGGGCCAACCTTGGAAATTACCTAAAGTTTAAACGCGATAGTATAACTCGTTTTGTACTCATGTTCACTTGCAAATAAAGCAAAAAATTTGTACGTGAAACAAACAAAAAAAGTAAAGATAAATTTTATCGTCATGTAATACAAGAAAAAAAGAGACTTAAACGAAAATGTAAGACAATATCAGAAATACGAGGGAAAAGATAATTAAAATAATAAAAAAAACATAAAAACAAGAAAATGAAAAGAGTTCATACTTTCAGAAAGAAGTATATTTATATAATTTTTATCTACAACGCACATGAGAATTATCTCAACAATCAGGTTCAGCAGAAAATTGATCCTTTGTCTCGAAATAATGCACAGGTGTGCGTTATTTCGCTGTTTCTGTGTAATTGAAAAAGAGAAATTTTATATTTTTTTTTAATTATTTAATAAGTTAACAACTGTAAATATGTGTTATTTCTTTATACGAAAGCTTTCAATCTTATTAATAGGTATATTTGAAAAAATATATATTAATATATATTTTTATTATTGCAAAGCATTTTTAAAATTTATAAAAATCATGTAAAAATTCGAATATGTAGTGACTGCCAAAAGTAATGCATCAGGTAGTCAAATTCATGAATAAAATATAATGAAAATTGAAATTTACTCTGTATATTAATATTATCGTTATCTCATCGTATCTTTCATATAAATATAAAAACAAATTAAAGATTTGTATATAGAAAGAAATAAAGTTTTTATATATTTTATTAACATATTTAAGAACCAGTCTCTGAAAAATATGTTTAGAGAGGAATAACTTTATTTAATTAATAAATTCAATTAAAAATAATAAATAAAAGAAATAATGACTAAAAATTTTTCTCTAAACACAAAATTTATTTTTAATATTGTACTCGAAATCTTGCTGACGAGAACAATTTATTTAGAAGAATACACAGTTAAAGTTGATATAACGGACAGGTTGGTTTATTAATGAAAAATTTCAAGAAATCCGTTATATCAACGGTTTTATTAATGAATCCGTTATATTGTGACGATTTATTATAAACCTCAATCTGCTATGAATTACTCTCCGTTATCAACAACGGTAACTGTGCGGCGAAGCATAACTTTGGAAACAGGTTGAACTCTGGAGCAGGAGCGGGTGGTTATTGATGAACTACTGTTAAGAATTGTGAGTTGTTTCTTCTTGTTTCACACATTTCTGTACACAGTAGGCAAAAATCGAAAAGCGTGTGCACACACAAGAGATAACCACAAGAATAAATCCAAATCCAAAGGTTGTCTTTATCTCCAGTACGATTTTGATGATTGTTGGTACTGAGAATATCACCTATAAATGCCAATAAAATGACAAGCGAGGATAGACTTATCAAAAGTTTCTTATTATGATAACTGCCAGAGATTATCGATAGTAATGACGCCACCGCACCTAAGGAAAGCAATTAATAACTTTATTTACAGTATAGTTTCCCGTAGGTTGTTAAAAGCAATATGAGATGAGGATATATACAGTACAAACAGGATGCATGACAAGCAAAATTCCAAATTTAGCTTTTCCGATATTATTGACTTTTTCACAAAAGTAATCATATTTGGTCGACGCATAATAACCGTATAATGATATAGATACTTCGTGATAGTTTGAATGGACACTCATAATATATATTGATGGGATAATTGGCGCACTCAAGTTCATTATCAAGAGACAAACAAACGAGAGGAATGAAAGGATGGTTGTGCAGCTATAGCACATCATCTATTCAAGATAAAATTATGAGAGATGGAATTGAGCTGAGTATACTGCACTCTACGAAATTGAAATTTAAATAATATTGTGAACTCTTTTAGATTGGCCAACCGTGTTTGTTTTGCAGAGTTTTAATAGGAAAATGCGTGCTTAGTCAATAAATATTAAGGAATCAATGCACATTTTACATATAAATAGTATAGTTAAATTTCTTGTCAGAATTTTTGATATAAACTTATTGTTATGGAATATATACAGTATATTGATCACATGTTACAAAAGAGCGGCATGTAGGTGTGATAATGAAAACATCTCATAACCGCATAGTAATGACAGAGTTCCACGGGACGATATTTGATAAATGGATATGATGTTAAGCGAGAAATTGTTTCTTCGAAGGATCAGGTACGGCTTTAAAATGGGTAGTCATAACATTCCTCGCTCAGTTTTACCAGGTGGGTTTTATATTTTATAGGTTCTACTAAGTCGAGGTCTTGATTTCAACTTGTAGAACGAAGTTGATCTCTTCGTCGAAAATTCAGTATATAGCAATCCTACAATATCATACTACATGAAAGTAATTCATAGATAACTTTATTGCTTCCCTTTTCGAGTCGTTCAAACGAGAGCTTAATAGCTCATTAAACAACAATTCGGAAGCACCAATAATCCAGATATAATTTGCCAAATCATGCGCAACATTAACTCTATCTTACTGAGCCTACAGTAATCCTATACTATTATTTTGTGAGTAGCATACTCAGGAGCACAAGCAGGAAGGGGCATGGTGCATTTGAAGATGTCAAAAATATAAATAATGTAGTTGATCGCCTGCACAAAAGTTAAAGGAAAAATGCACACGGGATTAGTGAAGCTAGTATATGCAGCCAGATGAGGTGGCGTTTAGATGCATTGAGCTATCAAAGCCATGAATGATGCATCGTTGGGAAAATAATGGTCTAATATAGAGAGTGCACCAATGAATCCCGAATATATGGGAAGTGCACCAATGGACGCTGACTAATGAATCAAAAGATAAATGATTCATTAGTCTGGGACGCCGCGATTAAAGTGTGATCTGATGGAGAAAAGTGAGAGAATTATATTATAAACAGAGACTGTAAAATAGAAGCATCGGTAGATTAGTTCAATTGAAAATAAATAAAATTTATTATTCTTAAACAAACTCACACATTCCTTCGTTAATAATTATATTGATCTTTTCCAAAATCCTTTGTTAATTGAGCCTTTACAAGACCACGACACTGCCATCAAGGATTAGGTAGAAACTAACAACCCCATTGGCGAAATCGATCAGGCAACTCGGCAGGAGCTCGAATTTGTGATCAACATAACATGAAAAAGTCACGGAAAATATATTTTTGGGGAACCCCCGTGATCGTACAATTCAAGGTTTACTCAGAAGACGGGTCCACCGGGTAACCACGCTAACACGTACATGAACTAGCCAAATTATTACATGAATCAGCGCGTTTTTTCTCGTTTTCAACCAAATCGAAAATACATGTAATATCGCCAAAAATATGATGGTCAGAAAAAGATTACTGCAGAGAAGGTTTTGAATATCCCAGACGAATTTATAAAGCTAAATTATCTAGCAAAATCAAAGAAACGGAAATCAAACCATTTTTTTGAATGTATCTCATTTAATCTGAATATTTTATAAAAAAGAATGTTTGCATAATTTATAAAGGAATCCCGGTCGGACGGACAATGAATGGAATTATAAAGAAAATATTTTTGAACAAATTAAAGAACACGTAGTTGTTTGAAATCATTACTATTTAAAATAAATAACCTTAGGCTTTATATGCGAAGTAATTCTATAACATAAGCAAATTGGTTTATAAATAAGCTTTTCATAAAAGATCAGACTGTTTTGAAGTGAGATGTTATTATATATCATGGCATTACTAAAATTATAGGTACAAACAAATACTTGATAGATAATTGCTACTGTGATGGTTGTTTAGTTCACTATACTCATGATTATAATAAATGTTCTCGTTGCCAACAAATGAGTTCTGCTGCTCTGAATGGTTTAATTATCACAGACAAATTAATATATTTAAATGTTCTAGCGGCGATAAAAAACAATCGACAATCCAATAAAAGAATGCAACAAAATTAAGTAGTGGATTATTCGAATGGATTTGAAAGATTTACCAATGTTGAATAATCTTTGCAAAAGAGGTTTTGGCTCAATTTATAAAGCAACCCGGTTGGTTAGATCATTGGATTACAAATGGGATCATGGAGAAAATAAATTTCCATGAGATAGACAACATGAAGTTGTATTTGAAATCATTTCATAATTCAAAGAAAAATTATTCCGGCGTTTATAAACGAGATAAAATTGAGCATTCTTTAAAGTGAAAGTTGCTTTTTGTTTTCTAATACGGTGATCATTCCGGGTAGACTTAACTCTATCATACAACCTTTTGATGTGAGTTTAAACAAGCCTTTTAAAGAGGTTTTCGATAACTAACGGTGAAAATTTATGAAACCCAAATTATGTGAGTGAATTATTTCAAAGCATGGAAAGAATTCAAAAAGTGAACCACAAGATAATTTACTATATGAAATGAATTAGGTGACGAATAAAGATAATAAATAATATTTGAAATAAAATTAAAGATATTGCTTATAACCAGAAAAATAAAAAATTTAATAAAATTGAGTCGAAATCACAGGCTGAAATACGGTAATAATGCAACATCATGTGTAGAACGTGTAGAATTACACGAAAAATTACGGCAGGAATTTTGAAAGTGTAAAGCTTTTCGCGAAGACAACAATATGCTTTCTGAATTTAAATCATTACTTTCAAGGATAAATGATATCGGAAGGCGAATGAATACACGTGTTCTATATATACATAACTACAAATTTTCGCGATAAAGCTCAATTCCATAAGCTTTTTTGAGAATACATTTTTAATTGTATCTATTTTCCGACCTAAGTTGGAAAAAACATTATTGACAATTTGTAAATAAATTGATTATATGACATAAATCATTAATTACCATAAATGACAGCCCCTTTTGCAATATTAGTACATGTATCTGGATAAGATGGACTGCAATATACGGAGCTTGAGGGCTAAATTCTTGTCGAACACGATGCAACAAGTATCTGGATTAGAAAAATTGCCATCCATAAAATTTGCGGAAATTTTTTTTCCAAATCATTCAATTGCTGGCGAATTAGTTTAAGGATTTTCAGAATAACTTGATCAAAGAAATATTTGACTGTTTCAAAATCTAATTCGATAAGCCATTCGGATTCTTCTAACGCATATTTTTATTCATCTTTAACGTATTGCAACATAACGGGACAAAAATTTTCAAGATCGAGTTCCTTAGTCCCCCAGTTCGTTATGTTTGAATCTTTATGCACATGCGGAAATATTGAATTAAATATTGAAGTTCCGGGTAATGTTTTCCTTCCACCAGCCGAAAGACAGCTTTTCCAATTTTATGAGCAAGGAATTTTTGAAATCTTCATCAATATATGCTGAGCCACAAGATTCACCACTACTTTCTGTGATTTCACTGATTCTTGCATTGGGAAGAAGTGTATGCACTGTCAAATCAACGTATCACATCACAATTTACTACCATCTGTATAACAAGTACATGTTAAATGTTTAATAGGTAAATAAAACATCTGTGATTAATTCTTGTTTTACCTCCAATTTTTAACTGATGTTGGTTTACACTTTCAAGACAGTAGATAGCAGCAGCCTCAGCTGTCAATAGAAATATAAAATTTTAAGTGAGATGCAATTGATTTCGTGCTAGATTGATACCAAAATTTACGTTCAGTCATGATTTCCAGATTTTCTGATTCTAATATGAGTATCAAGTCCGCATCATAAACGTATTGACGCATAATTTTGCGAATTTTTTCGTCATATTCGACAAGCACAGGGAGAACAATGCGGTCATGTTTATGAAAGTTAGACCTGGCCATCTTGTAGTTATTTTGCTTTTTATTACCTTATTACATGTATTACAAAAAATTATGAGACGTTCTATATTCATAATACACTATTGAAATTTAATAGAAAGTTAAATTTACAATATATACCTTTCCCATTCCTCGCAAATAATCAGTGACTGCTTTTCTTGGATCCAAACCCGCCGATAATGGGGGTCTATAAGCATCTGTGATTTTACCAAAATGAAGCTTGAATAGCTCAGCGACTTTTATAATATTATTAGAGTGAGCATTCGCATTTCTGAAGATCTTTCAGCTAACACAGCAAATCCCCATTTTAACTAGTTCAAAGTCATTATAGTATCTAATTACAGTGTTGGTTTTAAATTCTCCTCTCCTTTCGGGCCTTTTTGTCAAAATTATATTAGAAATATTTTACGTGTAAGGCTATAACTTTTTAGCAACATACCAATCATCATTTGCCTCGATTCTATGAGGATTCGCCGTGTTAGCGTATGCAAAATCTAAATTCGTTTAAATGTATATTCTTTTTTAGATTCTATCTTTCGGGAAATCTTGTTGTTTATTACATGCCTGAATACGTTATTTCGAAATCTTTGCTGTACACTTACTGGACAAAAGTTTGGAATCGGGAATGTAGGTCACGAATTTTGATATGACTTTTAATTAATATTTCTCAACTTCTCTTTAAATAAATTACGATAAAAAATATATCATTTTATTCAGCAAAAGTAGGGCTATTCATACATATATTTGGATACCCATTTGCATCAACTACAGCTTGCACTCTCCTCGGCATACTTTCAACCAAATTTTTTAAAATTTCTGGTCTGATTTCTTTCCATTCCTCCACCAATTCTTCCAGATTTTTGGGATGTGTTGTCGTGCACGAATTCGTCTTTCCAAAACATCCCATAAATGCTTAATTGGATTAATGGTCCGTGTGCGTTTCGGGTAAAATATCCCCATACCATTACTTTCGATTACCCGATTTCATACTAGGAAGAAGACAATCAACGTTATATTTTTCATGGGGTCGACGCCAAACCCGTTGCCGTGAATATTAAATACCTTGATTCATCACTCCAAATTACTAATTCCCATTCAAGAACCTAATCTTTTCGTTATAGACACCATCTTAATCAATTACAACGATTTTCCTCAGATATGAAAGGTTTTCTTAGACCAGCCCGACCAAAAAACCCACTTTCGTGAAGATTACGATGTATGGTTTTAAAACTAACTGAAATTTCCAAACCAGTATTGAATTTTTCAGTAATTTCATCAACTGATTGTTGCCGGGTATCTTTTACAATGTTGATTATTCTTCGGGTATCTCTATCATTTAATATTGGTGGTCTACCGCTTCGGGCAGCAACTTTGGTTTGACCAAACTCTATATTTTTGTATGACGTTATGAACTGTAGATTTTAGGTCGTCCTAGAGTTTCTCCTATTTTTTGTTCGGAAAAACCACCTTCCAAGCAACGACTATCTCGCCGCGCTCAAAATCCGTAAGTTGGCAATTTCTGCGAGTTTGACATTTTTTTAAAGCTTAGCTTTCTAAAGAGCTATTGAACGTTAAAATTGGACGTCTGTGTGTTGCACAAATAACGATGCAACTCACCCCTTTATTTATGTCGATCACCCCGATTCCAAACTTTTGTCAGATACATGTATTTATCGTAATACAGTCATTTCAATCTAGTCCGTTAGAGTAAATTTTTTCCAACAATGTACGCAATGCATACAGGTAACACCCACAGACAAACACCTTTTCTTTTGCTTGTTTTTTATTTGCAAGTCATTGTTTCTATGCATATGTACATCTAAACTTCAAACAGGTTCTCGATATGGTGTAAATCAACCCGGAGTTTGCATCAATCAATAATGATAATGATAAGTGAAGGGTTCTCCTAAAAAAAGAAAATGTTTCTGTTCCTCAGGCTTTATTTTTACACAATTACGTTCTTTTGGAATAGTAAATGTACCTATTTCTTGGTAGTCTTTTCTGATCACTATTTCAACTATACCCGAGAAGGAGGATATGCTATACATGTACACCTACATGCATGTACATGTACATGTAAGAGCACATATTTTTCTACAAATATACTGATGAAATATATACAGTAATCTCAATGTTTTTTTTTACGCCGCGCAGCGCATAATTCCAAAATAATGGAGCAAGGACCGACTTACCCTTTTGAATATGCTGAATTATATGACCTTTTATCTACTTATTTTGTGTTTGTTTCAACCTTAATTTGATGGTATTTTTAACGTTAATCTATTTTTTCGTATTTTACGATTTTTGTATACATTTTACGAACAATCAAAAAATTAGATAGAATTTTGTTTATTATAATTTATTTATATTATTTATTATTATTATTATTATTAATGTTCTTTAAATTCAAATTATAAAAGTTTTTTTAAGAGAAAAATCATGATTTCAAAATTCAGAAAAATCTCCTCATCTTCCAAACTTATTTCGTCACCATTATGGTTAACGATACTATTACTATTATTGCTACACCCACTATCCGTAACATCAGAATTCATACACATAAAAAGATCACAACCACCAACCAGACCACCACCATTCATCCCCGACTCACGATATGCGCACACCGCAACACTAGTGGGGACCAAGTTGTATTTTCTCGGTGGCATAACATCACCCGATGGAAACTTTACAAATTCTTCGTTGCCGCAAGCGGAGTTCTTTACGTTGGATCTATCAAAATCGTTTGATACCACCCAAAATGAACAAATGCCCTGGGAAAATTTGACGAATCCTTCGGTGCCGGCTATTGCGTGGGGAGCGGCTGCTGTTGGAGGGGCTGATAATGCGACAATTTATCTGTTTGGCGGGGTGAACCCTAGTGATAATACTACAGCTCAGGTGCGTGTAGTTTATTTTTTCTTGTTTCTCAATTTTCTGTCTTAATTATTCCATGAAATAACAAATATTTGTTGATAGGATAGTGTAATATATACAATCGACACAATTGCTTCCCCTAATATTAATGCGCATAAAAAAAGAGAATTAAGATTGAAACGAAGAGAAATCAACAGCACAACACCAACACCAACCTCAACTAAACTGTTCAAAAAAAGAGATGATGCCAATTCATTAACAACTGTAACGGCACCATGGCCATATAGTCTGACAATAACCTCGTATGAATGCGTATACCCAAATGTAACTCCACTTCCCCCTTGTGGTCCTGGCAATGGCAAAGCCATAGTTAATAGATCTGTTTCAACATCTATCACATCTATCACATCTACCACGAATTACGAAACAACAACAAGCTCGTCTTCTAGTATCAATCCATCACCAACTTCAAGCAATATACCGCCGAAACGGAATCATCTTGCATGTGCGATTGATAATCAGCTTCGAATTTATTACCTTGATGGAATTGACCCACAACAAGCTGTAGGTAACGGTAATATGAAACGACAGCTAGGTGGTGGTGGTGGTGGTGGTGGTGGTGGTGGTGATGCTGTTCGTGTCAATGGTTATACGAATAAACCGGCCATTGCATCAAAGAGATCAGCGAATGCTCCAACGCCAACGTCTACAAGTGGTGTTGCTAGCACTGGCTTCGACTTTGACAATTCAGTTAGCAATGATGCTAGTAATGGAACCATCGGCAAGAGAATCGTCTCAGAATTCGATTTATACGATACACGAAACAATACCTGGAGCACAGGGATGCAGAAAAATGGCGCCTATTTTCCAGCGATGGCTGATTACACGGCCACTTATGTCGAAAACTCTAATTCGATTATTTATATTGGCGGAATAAATGCGACTGGTGGATTTAATGATATGTCGAATGTAAGTGAGATCGTGATGCAGAATTTTTCTTGATGTTGAGATTCTTAATTCTATCTGACGTGGATTTATTAGATTCTGGTGTATGGGATTGATAAGAATCAATTTTGGTTTGTGGTAGGTATTTTTCGTAGTCTCAAGATAGTAATGTTTCCCTGCATAAATTTTTGATCATGTGATTTTTTCACAAAATAGCCAGCTTCTAGTCAAGCAGTATCTGTACCCGTATCCTCTCGAATTGGACATTCCTCTGTTTTAGGTAATTTCCCACTAGGTGAATTCTGCTCATTTATGCCTAGAAAAACACACACTGATAATAAAACAAACCATATCAGTGCAAAATAATCGAATAATAGTATACGGCGGGCTAAATGAACAAAAACAACCCGCCACTCCCGAACTCCTAATTCTCGACATCACCAATCAAACATCCTTCAGTTGGCGACAGCAAGCCACCACAAATCCGCGCCAGGCTTCACCATTTCAACACACCGCAACACTGGTTAACCGATACATGATTGTCGCATTCGGAAGACTAACCACGTCGCCGGATCGAGCAAATGACAAAATTACACTGTTGGATGTTGATTCGTTCTCCTGGGTCACTAGTTACACACTGAATTCGCCAGGTTCTTTTACGAATCAGGTGTTAATTATTGGATTGTTGGTGGCTACGGGAGTGCTGCTCCTTATCGCTGTGGGGTTGTTTCTGCTTTATAGGCGACGTGGTTATCTTTTCAGAAAAGGATCGTCATGGCCGGTGGTAAATGGCGACACCAATGTTGAGAATGATGGGAGTGGTGACTATAATGGTTATGTGGATTCACGAAGAGAAAAATCAGATGATGAAAGAGCCAGAACAAACGCATCACAACCACCTGCTTTATTGACTCCTATCTTACACTCCTCTTCGATGTTTGGCAAAATCGCAAGAACTCCTGTCATTTCCAAAATTGTTCCGTTGGATGTTAAAGTTGCACCAAATGCTGTTTTATTGGCACCACCTCAGGCTGTTAGCTCTAGACTTTTGCGGGAACGTAGTCGTGAAGAAGTATCGAGACAAATGATCGAATAATTTGTACATGCATTTGGGTACAGATTAGTCGATTGAAAGAATAATTTTTCTGGATAACAAAATACATGTACCTCGATATCGTATAACTTTTTAAATTCTTAATAAACACATGTATCTTATGTACACATCTAATAACTACATGTAGTTGCATGTAACATGCTCAGGTGTTACATGTACATGTATAAATTGCATTGCAAATACATGTAACAAAGATGACTTAATCAAGGTGTGCTTATAAAAAATATGAATAATAAAGTAATAATCATACTAATTTATCTAGAGCTAGTATATTTGGTTACCGCCTTAGTACCCTCCGACACAGCATGTTTCGCCAACTCACCCGGCAACAAGAGGCGCACGGCAGTTTGAATCTCGCGCGAACTGATCGTCGATTTCTTGTTGTAGGTTGCGAGGTGGGCTGCTTCGGTGGCGACGCGTTCGAAGATGTCTATTTCCATTTTGTCAATAATGTCAGTTAGCCCTATGTCATGAAAATGTAAAGTCTCGATTGAAACTTACCATTGACAAACGAGTTCATGATGGACATGGCTTTGTTGGAGATGGAGGTTTCAGGATGAACCTATGATCGTATTTTGGAGGAAATATCAAAATGAAACTTTTCACTTCGCGAAACACAGTAACCGGATAAGAAATTTACCTGCTTCAAGACCTTGTAGATATAAGAAGAATAAGTCTCGTGTCTTTTTTTCGTCCTTTTCTTCTTTTCGGTCTTGTCATCAGTTCCAACAGTAACAACTGTTTTCTTTTTGGACCCAGTCGCAGCGACAGCTGACTCTGGGTTGCCCTCAGCGCTGGTACTAGTTGAGGTGGTGGCGGCAGCCGCCGTTGCTAGATTCTGCGAAGGGACCGTTTTGTCGTCTGTTTTTCCTGGTTTGGCGGAGGTGGTGTTTCCAGCTGGTTGTTTCGCTGCAGTTTTTGCTTTCGGTGGCATTTTAAAGAGATGTAAGGGACTATTAGTGAAGCTGAAAAGATAAAGATTTAACTGTATATTATAAGTGCAAATACTAAAGTTATTTTTAGTAAATTTATTACGTGTTTCTGTCTGTATGATAGATTGATCATGTGGTGATTGTTTTGTTTGAAATATTTTTATTAAACGAAAAAAGTATTGATTTATTGTTTGATTCAGAATTTTAAAATCTACATGTTAGGAGAGCTGTGATAAAAGTGAATTTTCATTAAATTTTTGGAGACTTCCAAAATTATGACAGTTTCTTACAAACTACATATGATTTTTGACAAACTTTTGTTTTCAATAATTTTAACAACAACAATGATAATAATCAATCCTTGGTACATTTGTTCGTGAACAAGGCGCGGATGTTACCATGTTTTTTTTGATATTCCGTAAGATTGTACAGACAAAATATGCATTTATGAATAGATCCGAGATTTATTTAAATATGTAAAAAATTATGTAACGAGTGTAACACAGCATAATAAATAAAATACATTATCGATTCATGTATCGGTATTACTGGATTCCTGTTTTCTAAAAAAAAAAAACATGAAAGATACGCAAATTTTTAAAAAAATTGCTGTTAATGTTAAGGTCAACGAAGAGACCCCAATACTCTTAAAACTTCCTTTAAATGCAAAGCTTTCTGATATACGTTTAATACTTAATAATGAACCCGAAATCCGGATGAACAACAAAATGTCTTTTTTAGGTCAATCGAATAAGATAGATAAAGACAAAGAGACCGAATTGCTTTTATCTGAAATTCTTATAAAAAACAATCTAAACATTATCGGTGAAATAGAGCCTGACTGGATGACGACGATGACAGAAATTTGTGCACTCGGATATGGACTTCATTTTACAGAGAAAGGGCCGTTTCCTGCAAAAGAAAAAGCATTTAGTATCATGCGACTTATACCGGAAATCTTACCACATCCTTTCACCGATGAAGAAATAGTGGTATGTAAAAATGAAGAGGAAAATCTATGTGTAAGAAATCTTATATCCAATTCAAACATCACAGATAAATCGTAAGTATTCAAGATAAATATTACTGCGTTTCGTTGCTAACTATGTTCTATTTCTATTATAAGTTCGTCCATTTTTGAAAACGTACGATCACAATATTCAACAGCTGAAACTTGTAAAGATGACGATATTTATTCCAAATTTAAACGACTAATAGCAACATTAACAATAAAAGAATCTGACATAAAGCCAACTAAAAATTTCGAAAATGCAGTTGATGAAGCTCTTGCATCCCATAATAAACGTGAATCTCTTAGAAAAGCTACGGACGATTTTGGACAATTTTGGTGCAAAAAATACGAGATTGGCGGTGTTATTTTATCTAAAATGAGTAATTCTTCACCAACTTCTGAATCTTTCTTTAAAATTCATGGTGTTCTGGAAGAAACCTATCGTACTGAAGGAATATCTGGTATTTTATTTTTTTAATTGCTCAAGTTCATCTTAAACTTCTATTAATTGAATTACGTTTAGAATGGTTCAATTCATTGAAAGATTATAAAACTTGGGGGATAGCTGAATATTTGGATATATGCTCGATATTTGACATTTTGGATAAAGACAGACGGACGAAAATTTCTCTGGCAATGGGAAAGACAATCCATCACTCTCAAGTCCTTAAATTTAATCCTATCTTCAATTTGGCTGATAGAAGACCAGTTGTATGCGAGCTTCCTGAAAATATAAATCTTTCGAAATTTACTTATCTATAATGACAGACGACAAACAAAAGAAAGATTTTGTTGCTCGACTTCATTATATCGATAAAGAAAGTCAACCAGTTATTCTTGTGCAACGATTAGGGAAGCTAACAGATAAAACAAAGCTATAAACGTTTTTTCTTTAAGCTGGGATATATTGTTGTCGGTAAATCGCCATCAAATCTATTTGAGCAGAAATCTGAGCAGCTGACTTTAGAAAGTTCAGAAATTCCATTAATCGTAACAAAAGATCGATGTTCAGCCATTATTAAGGAACAAACTCGAAATCCAAGCACAGCTCTTATAGCCACATGCGTTACTAAATCTAAAAATAGACAAAGTGATCCAAAAGATTCGGAGTTTATAATAGGCGCCCATTTTAATATCAAAAATAACACCATTGAAGCTTGTGTATTTTGCTATGATCGAAAAAGTAATAAGTAATCGTTTGTATTCAATTTAAGTGGAATAGCAGAAACTAAACTTTGCTTTTTATTTATTAAAGTGAATCCATACCATCAGTTCAATAGTTTATCAGATAATCTTTTTCTCGATCGCTGGTAATTTAGTTTTTAAAGTCAATTCTTAATTGTTATCTCTAATTATTCTAATTTACAGTATTATATCCGAACAACAAAATTTACTTTCCGGACAAGCCCAAATAATCGAAAGAGATTTTACCCGGTTTCTATTTGCGTCAAAAAAATCTAAAATCGCTTTTGACAATTATCCACGAATCATATCAACCTCATATACAAATTCAAATGACGAGTCGGCTCAAGGTTTTCAAAATCCAGTTTTTTTGAATTTGATTACAACGAATTGTGAGGAGGAAGGCGTGCACGGATTTTTTAAAATATGCGACCTTTAGATCACTAAATAATCCGATTACAAAAAATCAGCAAATCGCATATTTTTTGTGCATCAATTACACCGATACATCCCTGAGTATGAATAGTTACCCCATGATGGAATTACATGATAGACCTATCAGCCGTAATGATTCCGATAGAATTCCAATTCAGTATAATTCAACTATGAATTACGAAGGAGAAGCAGAATACATGTACATGTATTGTCTATAATATTGTTATTGTTACCATTAGAGTTTCCTTTATTCCGTAATTCCGACGTGACCTGCAGGTACTAAAAAAATTATAATAATAAAAATAATAATAATAACCATATAAAGCAATATAACACTTACCAAAAATAATAGCCCCAAATGCATGTATATACTTCGAACACTTATCCATTAATAATTAGAATTTTATTCAATTTCAATTTTTTTTAATAATGATAATAAAATTATTCTTTGGACACAGTAACACTTAATTTTTTTGTTTATTTTTACTTACTACATATTTGGTGCATTTGATACACTGTTTAGTACATACTTCGAACACTATATAAAATAGAATTATCCATTAGTATAGTCTCTAAACATGTATCCGCCAAAAATGGGCGTTCTTGAGCCTTTAATCAAGACAAGTTATAATAAAAGAACAAAACAATTGAAACAGTATTACCTTTTGTAGCTTGTATTATTGAACTTCGGGTTTATAGTATAACAATATTTTTTTCAGATTTTTTCTGAAAGAGTTGTTCTAATTGCAAAATTTTTTCTAATTAAAAATGAAATTTAATTAAAAAAAATTTGCAATAACTTTGCAATTAGAACAACTCTTTCAGAAAAATTTAAAAAATCTGAAAAAAATATATGTTAAACTATAACTTATAAACTTTATTTTGATATAAAATATAAATTATTTCTTAATAAAATTATAAACTTTAATATAAAGAGAAATTTTCAATTTTTATTATGTTTCATTAATAAAATTGATCACCTGATTCCATAATTATGGAAGCTACTGTATAATACTTATTTATTAATAATAAAATTTTATATACTTATAATAATTATTTTGTATTAATAAAAACTTGTAATTTAATAAAATTTTAATTTAAAATATGTGTTTTGTTGGATTAGAGTTATGATTAGGATTAATTAAAAGTTTTATTCTATATAATAATATCTTTATAAGTATATTCTCTAAGTATATAGCCCAGTTCCAAGCTTGAAACTTAGAGCTAAGTGTACTTTCTTTATATTTTACATATATATACACATTATAAGTATATTTATATAAATATTGATCAATTACTAATAATTATTTGATTATAAGCTCACTTATAACTAATTTTAAAATGAATAATCAAAATTTTTACATATTTTAAAATGAAATCATAGAATTTATATACTATATATAATTATAATAAATTCAAAATTTCAAATATATTTTATAATTATAAGAATTATATTTAATATTATCAATTAAATATAAATTAGAATAAATTATAATATAAATATTTTTTATATTTTTACTTAATCAATAATTTAAATTAATATAGTCAGAAAGATTTTTTTAAGAAAATTATATTTATAAGAAAATAATATATATTAATATATAAATAAACTAGATTATTAAATTATAGTATTTATCTAAATTAAAAAAAGAAAATAGTAATTTTATTAGTATTAAATAATATTAAAATTAGTTATATATTTCTAAAAAATATTTCTTAAAAAATTATACTTTATTAAAATTCAAAAGAAAAAATTTTATATTTATATTCATAATAATAAAAGGATCTAAGTATAATATATTTATTAAATTAAAAATAATAAAATATTAAAATTAATAAAAGTATTATTATTTATATTTTATAAATAACAAAAAAATAACTTAATTTAAAAATTATTAATTCAAATATAAAATAATATAAATTAATTATTTATTTAAAATTTAAATTAATTAATAATAAATAATTTTAAGTAATATAATAATTATAATCTACTAGTTATATAATATAATATATCAGAAAGATTTATAAGGTAATTAAAATAGAATTCATATAGAAAACTTATTTCAAAATAGACAAGATTATTGTATTTAAAACTTATTCTTTATTTATTATTATATTGTTATTAAAAATACAGAATAAAAACAATATCTTTAAATAATAATTTA